GGGGGTATTGGTTAATAAGTTTTAGAGAGGTTCACGAAAAACTATTTTATAGAAATTTTAATAGTCATGAAGAATTTTATGTAGATGGGATTCAGCAAAAACTAAAAGGTGATTGTTTTATATTTCTGGCTTTATATTGATTAAAGTTTCATTAATGATTATTATGAATATCCATAAATTAGTAGTTGTTATAGCAACATTAAACAATAATATGCAAACGACGACAACGAATCGTCTTTTTTGAGGATGATAATAAAGATTAAGATCCAGTTTGTATAGGAGTGATCGAAGTAAGCGTTAAAGACAAGATTTATGAACAAAACATGCTAACGAATGTTTATCAACTATTCAATAGTTGTATAGGAGTGATCAAAGTAAGCATTAAGGACAAGATCTATGAACAAAGCATACTAACAAACGTTTTATCAATATTAAATATATAGGAGTGATCGAAGTAAGCATTAAGGACAAGATTTATGAACAAAACATACTAACAAACGTTTTATCAATTATTCAATAATTGTATAGGAGTGATCGAAGTAAGCGTTAAGGACAAGATTTATGAACAAAACATACTAACGAACGTTTTATCAATTATTCAATAGTTGTATAGGAGTGATCGAAGTAAGCGTTAAGGACAAAATTTATGAACAAAACATACTAACAAACGTTTTATCAACTATTCAATAGTTTTATAGGGTGATCGAAGTAAGCATTAAGGACAAGATCTATGAACAAAACATACTAACAAACGTTTTATCAATTATTCAATAGTTGTATATATAGGAGTGATCTTGTCCTTAATGCTTACTTCGATCACTCCTATACAACTATTGAATAATTGATAAAACGTTCGTTAGTATGTTTTGTTCATAGATCTTGTCCTTATTGCTTACTTCAACCACTCCTATACAACTATTGAATAATTGATAAAACGTTTGTTAGTATGTTTTGTTGATAAATCTTGTCCTTATTGCTTACTTCGATCACTCCTATACAACTATTGAATAATTGATAGAACATTTGTTGGTATGTTTTGTTCATAAATCTTGTCCTTATTGCTTACTTCGATCACTCCTATACAACTATTGAATAATTGATAAACCGTTTGTTAGTATGTTTTGTTCATAAATCTTGTCCTTATTGCTTACTTCGATCACTCCTACACAACTATTGAATAATTGATAAAATGTTTGTTAGTATGTTTTGTTCATAAATCTTGTCCTTAACACTTACTTTGATCACTCCTACACAACTATTGAATAATTGATAGAACATTCTAGTATGTTTTGTTCATAAATCTTGTCCTTATTGCTTACTTCGATCACTCCTATACAACTATTGAATAATTGATAGAACGTTTGTTAGTATGTTTTGTTGATAAATCTTGTCCTTATTTCTTACTTTGATCACTCCTATACAAATATTGAATAATTGATAAAACGTTTGTTTGTATGTTTTGTTCATAAATCTTGTCCTTATTGCTTACTTCGATCACTCCTATATATACAACTATTGAATAATTGATAAAATGTTTGTTAGTATGTTTTGTTCATAAATCTTGTCCTTATTGCTTACTTCAACCACTTCTATACAAACTATTGAATAATTGATAAAATGTTTGTTAGTATATTTTGTTCATAGATCTTGTCCTTATTGCTTACTTCAACCACTCCTATACAAACTATTGAATAATTGATAAAACGTTTGTTGGTATGTTTTATTCATAGATCTTGTCCTTAATGCTTACTTCGATCATTCCTATACAAACTATTGAATAATTGATAAAACGTTTTGTTAGTATATTTTTGTTCATAAATCTTGTCCTTAATGCTTACTTCGATTACACCTACACAAACTGGATCTTAATCTTTATTATCATCCTCAAAAAAGATGATTCGTTGTCGTCGTTTGCATATTATTGTTTAATGTTGCTATAACAACTACTGATTGATGGATATTCATAATAATCATTAATGAAACTTTAATCAATATAAAGTCAGAAATATAAACAATCACTAATAAAATACCTTTTCATGACTATTAAAATTTCTATAAAATAGTTTTTCGTGAACCTCTCTAAAACTTATTAACCAATACCCCCCATAAA